GTCAATTCTCTTTTTTTTTCCACCTCTGCTATGTCCAGGTATTGAACTCACAACTCTTTAGATCAAGTTACTTTTGGATTACTTCAACAGACCAAAGCTTTTATTCACTGGGCTATGTGTCACCAAGAAAGGCGGTGCGTACAACGGTCGAAACATCGTGAATATGACAATAAATAAAAATGAGGACAACAGTCCAAACAAATTAAATTTACAATACCTCATCTAATATATATATATATATATATATATATATATATATATATATATATATATATATATACTGTTATTTTAATCAAAATATTGTTGCGAAACATTTAAATTTAATTGTAAAATGTAGTTTATCAACAAACAATTCAACATTTTAAGCTTTTAATTGACTAATGAAACAAACACTGAAAAAGGGATTTTTTTTTGTTGGTCATAAAGATAAGACCATGTGTGAAATTTACTGGACCAAAATTTTAGAACTAGTCAGTGTGCGCATAGCTTCAGGTCTGTAGATATCTACGTAGCTCGTTTCCAGTATTAAATTTCAGATTTTAAAATGGCTAAGTCAGGATTGTTGTACTTCAAAGACATCGTCTTTCGCAACGAATCATTGCAAATAAAATTGGCCGTAGCAGAACTGTCATTGCTAAGTTCATTAAAAATCCGGATGTGTATGCTTTTAAAAAAATCAAGCGATCGCCCCAATAAAATCTCACCATCTCTAGACAGACGCATTAAGCGAGAAGTTAAGAGAGATTCAAGCTAAACATCAAATCAGATAAATGCGAGTACAGATGCTGAATTGCAGCTCTCGAACAATTCGACGGCATTTAAATAAGAAAGGGTTTAAGAACTTGAAATGGCTGCAGAGGGTTCGCAGTTGACAATTTGCTTCTGATTATCAAACTTGGGATGTGGATGTGTTGTTTTCAGACGAGAAAAAAAATGCAATCTTGATGCTCAGACGGTTTTCAGCGTTACTGCCATGCAAAAGATGTCCCAAAAGAAATTTTCTCAACATGACACAGTAGAGCCGGCCCTCATCTATGTGGAGAAAACTGTATTTTCTAGCAGGGCAATGCTGCAATCCACCACACTCTCCAGATCAAAACTCAATCGAGAATGTTTGGGGATGGATAGGGGCACAGTCCTATGGGTAAAGAGAAACTCAGATGAGTTCCACCACAGAATATGTAATCGAGCGGCGCTATATCGAGTCTAATTTGTTACCTCTTTGTCACCGAGGTCTGTTGGTACAGTTGGTATGGTGTTTGCCTCCTATCGTACCTATTCAGCTTTCAATTCTCGGTAGTGACTGCTGATGAGTCCCAAATATAGGACGAAACGGCCGTCCAGTGCTTTCTGCATTATGTTGAGGTTTCTTCTAGACTCGATAAATTACTTAATTATATATATATATATATATATATATATATATATATATATATATATATATATATGTGTGTGTGTGTGTGTGTGTGTGTGTGTGTGCATGGCCACCATATTACATTAATATGAAGGTAAATAAAGTATAAATAGCTTTTTTATAACGGACATATAGATCTACAAAATTGCATATACGCATCACGAGACGAATACAATAGCAAACATTATTGATAAGCATGTACGATCACCAGGTATCTCATATACAAGCACAGATTTGCGCGTATACATTCGAACAATAATAATGGTTTATATTTCATGCAAAGATTATATATACTTCCCGTTATAAAACTCTACATCAGGTTAGATATTCCGAAAATAAAATAAAAATCTATGAAACCTTCTAATTGCCCAATTAAGACGTAAAACTTGATGCTAGTATTTTTACGGTAAAAAGAAAAACGTAATAAACATATGAACATCCCAATGAATCTCTCTCTCTCTCTCTCCACACACACACACACACACACACACACACATACACACACACAAAACAACCAATAGAAATGAAACATAAACAAAGTTCATCTTTAAAAAAAAAATGAAGGGAAAAAGAAAACAAGAAAAATAAATTGTTGACGAGGGTTGAAGTAAAAAAATAGATTAATAATACCACCATTCAAACAGCTCTGCGTGATACACACATATATATACACACACACACACACACACACACACATATATATATATATATATATATATATATATATATACATATATATATATATGTATGTGTAATGTATGTATTTATCAAGTGAGTAACAAAGATGGTTCCTCACCTGATGAGATTCCTAGTCTTAAGCATCGAATCAAATATGCATCTTTGTAGTGATTACTTGTTTGTATGTAACAACTTATAATGAATAACTATTGCTCTACTTTTGGTATTACGACCTCTTTTTAAATTAATTTTATGAACGTTTCAATATATATTCGTTCTCATATATATTATATATATATATATATATATATATATATATGTGTGTGTGTGTGTGTTTATGTGTGTGTGTTCCTTCGTTCTCAAACCTCTGTGTGTATGCGGTTCTGTTTATAGAAACGTAGCGGAAAAATACGTGTGTTCGTTTTGATGTTTGTTTGTTTTGGGGCATATCAATTATTTATGGGTCATTTAATGCTGAAATTTAATTTCCTTGGAAGCATTAGTAATTTTCTTTACACAAATCTATTGCTGGTAATTTTATTTTGCAAAAATGTATTGCTGCTAATTTTTTTTTTTTTACTATGTGTTGAAACATGACTAATGCATGGAATAATAATGCAACACAAAATGTACTTAGAACAAAATGTATTGAAACAAGAAAGTGTACACAATATTTACATATAGTCTTTTGTATATTCCTGGGAAGACCGTTCCTGGAGAATGTGTTGACTGAGTCGCAGTCGGGCAGAGTCTCTGGTTGAATCTCTTGATTCCTCCCTCTCTTCCCGGTACCAACCATATTTATATGGTCGGTATTCCACTATGCAAATTAGGTGGATCCTACCACAACACTATGAAAATACTGGTACTTTCACTATACAAATGAATTTCTATAGTGTTTGACCCCACTTTTGGTGTTAACTGTTTGCCCATAGCTGATAGTCTAACACGTTCTAACACCCTGGGTTATGGTACACTTGTGAAAACCGTCAATCTCCCAATCAAAGGCCTTGATGCAGTTTATCGTCATATCCAGGAAGAGATTCATTTTAGACTGAAAACTAGACAGCGTTTAAAACAACGTAAAAATGAAATCTGTAAGCTTTCGGCTGGTGTAAACAAATAAATTTGAGGTTAAATGACATAGGAGGAAATAAATGAAAGAAAACGCGAACATTACGGAAGAAAACAATAAAGCCATCACAGAAAAAAAAAAAAAAACGGATTCTACCGTTGTTTTCTCTGGTCCATTAGCGAGAAATTCTCTCCTTGTGTCGTAATGAAGAGACTTGCTGTCACTTGATCTCCAATGTCACCGCGTGAATATTTAATGAGTACTGTGGGAAATTTGTCCCTGCTTTCCTATATGAAAGGGTTAAGGTTAAAGGTGATACAATCGATAAAAGCAACAATGGCTTGAATATTTAGAACGGGCAGTTCTCTATTTTAGGTGGCAAAATAAAGAAAGCCGCAAACGGGGTGGTAGCAGCTGTTAGGGTCCCAATTATAGGCAAATAGTTAACCCACAAATTGGAGTCAAAACACTATAAAAGTGTTAAAATACGTTTTTAATACAAGCAATAATTTTTTTGAGGAAAAATTATTAGCAGCAATACTTTTTTGAAAAAAAAAAATTACCAGCAATAAAAATCCTGTTGGCATTAAATAACCCAATGAGGGTGATATGCCACAAACCAAGGACTCAAACTCCTGCTCGGGACGGGGTGTAGCAACAGAAGAAAATGTTTATATACATACACACACACACACACACACACAAAGGTAAAGGTATATATACAAAATATGAGAGAAAGAAAGGAAGAAGAAAAGTCCTTAAACTTAGAGGAAGAAACAGTGTTCATATAAAGGCTTACTTAAAATGTTTCTCTTAGTGCCTAAAACTTCTTTAAGCAAATAAATTGTTCTTAATGGGTTAATGATCACATATGATTTCTTCAAAGCACTTGTTGAAGGCGGGGGGAAACAATCAAAAGATCTGTAGTTTGTAGTTGAGTGAAGAATGCTCTCTCTCTATCCCTCTCTCTCTACTTCATTAACATAAGGTGTGATCACAAACTTTTTCCTTTTATATGCCATGTTCAACAGCTTCGTGTCTCCCATTGTTCAAAGTATATTTCCACTCTTTACCTTTGCTTATTGTCATTGTTCTGCCGTCTATTCACATTAAATTAATTAACTGAGTTTTACACTATCTTCTCTCTGCTTCTTTTGCCTTCTGTGTCTCTTGTGAGTTCGGAACTCTTTATATCTTCTTTCCAAATTATGTGTCCAAGATATTTCTTTGAGTCTTATCTTGAATGTAACTGTTATATACCGTACTTATGGACACTAATGGGTATGGCCCAAATCCTCATAAATACGTTGGACACTATTTTAAGTGGTAGGGTATAATATGCTGTTAAAGTAGTCCGTCACTAGCAGTAGTTTGCCTACTTCCCGCCACTGGCGAGTATTGTGCTTTGTTGATATTATAAAGATTACTATTTCATTTCGAACCTCCGTTTCATTAAGTAACCCCTTCCTAGGTTACAACACACGCGCGCGCACACACACACACACACACACACACACACACATATATATATACGTATTATATTAGGCAGTACATATTTTATATTATAAAGAGATAATAATACAAAATATGAGAGAAAGGAAGGAAGAAGAAACTTAAAGGAAGAAACAGTGTTCATAATATATCAGTTAGCAATATCAGTGCAATTAATGGTGAATTCTCTTCGCTAAAAGACTTAATATAAGCATTAACTTACTAACATAATACCAAAGATACTTGCAGGTAAATAAGTATAATAAAACTTAACTGGAAATTGAACTCAGGTCTAAAAATTCCGAGAGATTATCGATTGCACCACTCACATATCCAAGCTGACTGTATCTGGTATTTCCAAATGGTCATCCATCTAAGTACTGACAGGCCCGGCGTTGCTTAACTTCGGTGATCGTAGAGGAAACGGAGTCCCAACGTGATGTGGCCATAAATCAACAATGGCAGACTGAGAAAGAAAAGATAAAGAACTCTAAGGAATTGAAGGGAGAAAAAGAAAACCGGACTGCTAGAATGGATGGTTGTCATAAAAAAAGAGACAACTTTGTAAGCTAGCGCTTCTTAAACGTTTTTCATTCCTGACCCCATTTTCATCACGAGATTTTTCGTGACCCCAGGATTTAAATATAAAATGGAACACAAAGAAATATATAAATCATTTATTTTTTTGCTGAGCAATATACATATAGAAACGTAGTTATATTATTTGTTAAAATAAAAATAGTTTTATGATTTGTTTCAAGTACAAAAGTAAACTAAAGTAAATGTTTCAAGTACAATAAAAAGTACCCCCCCCCAAAAAAAAAGTAAACAAAGTAAGAATCAATGAGAAGGATGTGCTTGTTTTTTTTTTTTTTGCTGCCTAATAAATTAATCCTTGGTGTAATATTTGACACTGCTGGACGTAATCCTTGGTGTAATATTTGAAACTGCTGGCACGTAAAGTATTTTCTATTTTTTTCAGAGTTGAACGATATCTGGTTTTAATAAGGGTTTAAAATCTGAAGAACTGATTCACATAAGTATGTGCTGCTAAATGCCAAAAGAACAAGAAAATGAGGGAAATTTAGCTTTAGTTCCGAACCAGAATTCAACGAAAGATTTTTTGTAAATTCAAGTTTCATGTTTGAGTCCCTCGATTCTTCAGCGATTTCAAGTGTTTGAATTTAATTTTCGGGACCCCAACATTTCACTTCGCAACTCCATTTGGGGTTGCGAAACATAGTTCAAGAAGCGCATTTATAAGCTGTGAATTAAATACGTTTAAATCAAACAGGTATAGCAGTTTAACAACCTTGGTAGTTTCGTAACAAACGACGGAAAATCTGATGCAGAAAACCGAAAGTTCTTTGGAATAACCAAATATGTTTTCCAGAATTAAAATTATAAGAAATATGGTAATTTGTTCGTAACAAAATCAGTTGCTGAACTGATTGATATGTCATATGTGATCTTCTATGTGACAAGTGAATGCTGAACAATTTCCGCACAGATGAAGCGGTTGATATGTGTTTCTATTGACGGATGCACAAGAATACCATGTGAATAAAGAACTTATAATAAACAATAAATATGCAAGAATACCAAAAAATAAAACATTCCAGTTACGCCCAATATTGTATCCTATATCTCAACACACAATTAAAAAAAATACAGAAATAAACAACTTTATTTTTCATTCTGGGGTCTTTCCAGAAGAACATCCCAGTATTGAGACAAGACTCCAGAATGAAAACAGAACTCCAAACACGTGAAACTAATCAAAGGCAAAAGACAGCTAAAATATTTCAAAAACTTTTCCCCAGTGCCAAATTAACCCAACAGAAGCCCAACACAAACTGTTAAAAAGTGTGTTCACCTTAATTACGGGACTTGCATTAACCTCATTTAAGACACAATATAGACACTTAAATCAGGACAATTTTTTTTTGTAAAAATTATTTCACCTGTTCATCGATAAATTTAGTAATAGTAACAAATGTAATGTATAGACAATTAGATGGAAAGGATGTAACGAAGGTTATATCGGCAAACCAAACTCACCCTCAGAAGCAGAATGTCAATTCATTGCCAACAAATACGAGGCCCCGCTACAAATCCGATAACACTCAGTGGGCATTTAGACTCATGTGCAACAGATAAAACCGCCAAATTCCAAGTCTTTCCATTTTATCTTTATCCAGGCAATAGCACAGATCAAACACGAATAAATACAGAATATATATTTATTAAAATATAAAAACCATGTCTGGACAAACTCTAACAAATTACATTTGCCAAGGACTATGCACAAACACACACACAAGCACACACATACACAAGCACACACATACACACAACACACACACGTGACATCCTTGTCCATATTAGAAATGAAATTATTATTATTATTAAGGTGATAAATTGATACACACAAATAAAAAAATTGTGCTCCTGACTACTTGTACATTGAACTTCGTGATTACAACTAAGGTCCAATAAAATAAAATCCCTGACGCTTGAACTACTTAATACTCTTTTGTCATTATCCACTCACACGGAACTATGAAACTTCCAAGTGTTGACAACAACATTTTATAATCACTAATTTTTGGCGCAAAATTACTATGCCTGATCTCGTGATCATAATCAACCAATTAGAATACGTTTTAAACAGATACTAATCTATTCCTTTTGTCCATGAAACGGAAAGTATTGTCAAATTCCACTTAGATGCGAGACATACCACAGCATATCCACACACCTCACCATCTCATTTTAACTTTCGAATGTCACAGAACTGTGAAACCAGTAAAGGCACTGTAAATAAATATTCTTAAAAACTCCAGTTGCATTTTCAACTTCTTTTTCTTATATTTTTACCCACGTGGGATATATAACAATCCTTACTTTCTGATATATATATTGTGACGCAGCCCCGATTTCATTAACCACACAGGCGTTAGGCTAAAAAGCACCCCAAAGTAAAATCTTAAATTCTAGTCGAAAATTAGTTAGATATAAAAGAAAAATAAATAAATAAATAAAAATAGAAATTTAATCCAATGCTTTCGACTTGCGAGTGAATATGTTCTATGATCAGCCATAACCTCCACTTCTCTTCACAAATTCTTTCCCCCTTTATACCCGACGCGAGAATAACCTGGTTCTTAAATTTCGCAGCTATCAGGCGGCTGACCATAAGTGAATTCCAGGCACCATCAGAGTCTCCTGCTGTGATTCACGTGATCAGAACATACTAATATTGAACTTTTGGCCATCACACAAGCACTGCGTGATTTGCGCCCTATCCTCTTGCGTACCCGGTCAGGGACGAAGGGAACCCACGTGACTGTCTTTGGGGACAGCGAAAATCTAAAAAAGGATTTTCAGTTTCCCTCTGACCAGACTGCCCACTGAGATGAAGAAGGCAGCAAAGTCTGTCGACTAGGAGTGAAAGGACTGCTATGAAACTGAATCAACCCAACGAAATGCCTGTACGAGATGCTGTGGACCATCGAACACTTGTGAAAAGAAAAGAAATCCAGGAAAATTGCCGGCCGGACAAAATATTGTTTTAGCATCAGAACTCTCGCTTCGGTGAATCCAAACTTTGTGTGAAAATATCAACTCGACTGAAAGATAAGTTGATTCTCTTGGTTTAATCTGTTTTTATATATGTATGTATTCGCTCGCGCCTTCTATTCTTTAATGATCCCCTTCCCTTTGTTAAATGAATGTTCTTTTTTTTCTTTCTTTATCTCTTTATATATATTTATAAATAAATGTTTTATTTTGAAATCCATCGTCTTGTGTCTGTTCTTCGTTGACTCCCTTGTGTCGCTTCCATTTCTGAGTGAAGACCAAGAAAGAATCCCACATTTCCTTTTTTTTTAAACCCGTGGTTCATCTATATGCTACAAGTTCGTAACAATATATATATATATATATATATATATATATATATATATATATATATATATATATATAATTAAAGAAGATACGACAAAAAGCGAGAATGAACTTATTTACGCAAGAAATATACTTATATGCATCAAAATGTGTGTATCCAGACAGAGTAACTACTAAATGGCGGCAAATGAAAATAAATCTGAAAATAAAATAAAATTTGATTTTGAAAACACATTACTGCCTCCCCCGTCAAAAATGCATTAGTACACCCGCCCCCACAAAAATAGTTGTTTTGATATGAGTACACTAAATTGATAAAAATATACTTTTGCCGTTATGCGAAAAAGCACTGGAAGAGAGTTTCACATTATTTTCCTCACTGATAAAATTGGTGTTTAAACATAGTGTTGATGAGTATTCGTATAGCTTAAAAATACAAATGGACACACACACATATATGTGTGTGCGTATATATATATATATATATATATATATATATATATATATATATTATTAGTTTGAGTTATAATTTCAGTTTATAGGAACCAATTATAATGACAAATCTACTATCCCAACTACTAATGATACTTGAGAGTTAAGAATAAGTTTGGAGTATATTTTAACATACCTTAGCTTTTGCACGGCAAAGGCATCATACATAGCGGATTAAAGGAAAATTTTGTTCTCCACTATGACAATTCAACACCGCATACAGGAAAAATAACAACGGAAGAGAATTTGGAACACCCGCCAGATTCACCTTAACCCAGCACCAACCGATTATTACCTTTTTCGATCTCTTCAAGACGCTTAGATGCCGAAAGCTTGCTCTAATGGAAAGTGGATTCAAGATTTCTCACCAAAACGTACGGAATTTTACTCGAAACGCATGCAAGAGATACCTAATAAGTGAAAAGACGTCTTTGCAAATAATGGTGAGTATAGAATTGAATAAAATGTAATTGTACTTTATTTTTTGAAGAATAAATCTGTTAAACACAAAAGAAAATCCACCTAATATACAGCGATTTTCTAAGCGCTGCTTAGATGTGGCACAAAGCTGGGACTATGGAGCACCCCGTGAGGATTGAACTCACTACTCAGTCGTAATATGAGACAAGCTTGCTAACTATTACGCCACTCCGAGGTGCCCAAACCAACCTAATATATAGATGGGGTATAGAAGAACATATCTTTTTCGAACAATATTTCGATGATAACCTAATGTAAGGCTACACGGTATCCGACTCGTAGATAAGAGCTTCTTGAAAGTGTCCGCGCGAAAAGGATGAACGACAGGTGACCTAATGTATCCCACGGAGGCACACAATTTTCACAACATCTATGATTGTTCGGGAGATCGTGAGAAACAAGAACCATGTCAGAGTCAACCCCCAGGCATCTAGCAGGGTCTTAGGGCCAAGTCACCCGCCTTCATGGAGGTACTGGATAAGGTTTAGAGCCGTGGATTTGGCAGGTAGCAGTATGTATAGCAATAGAACTCTTCTTTTCACCACATCATCTACAGGACGTAGAAATGA